CAGGGGGAAAGAGGGACAGTAAGCCATGTGTCAGTTGTTTGGATGGAATGAAAGTGTTGGTTTCTCTGGTTGTAATAATTTGGAGATTAAATGTTGGACACGTGTCTGCAGGTCGACTGCGATTTGTATCCCAGCTCATACAATTTATTTCCATTTCTCATCTTGTATCCATTTATTTTGGAAAGCCCTATAACTTGTGCAGCATACCTTTGTGTGGAATCATCTCAGTGAGTTTGTGGGGCCTTCCAATAAATCATGTCACGTACGGGCTGCTGCCATCGGTCAATCTCTTACCTGGCCACAATCCCCAGAAAAAGAATGTGCTTGGTTTTGTGTGATTGGAAGCTTCCAAATTGGTCCTGGCTATTTTCTACGACTTAGGTCCTTTTAACTCTCCCTTAGCTATTGCAGGACAGTTGCTTGTGCCGGGCTCACGGGCAGGCATCTAGTGCCCCGGACCTTTATCAGAGCAAATATTCTCCGATCATTTCCAATTGTGCAAAGATTTAGGACCTACCTTTTGGCCACCTGTGATGCTCAGTACCATAACTGCCTGTTATTTTCCTGCCTACTTGTCACATCATAGTTCCTAGAACATCATATTTGCTCCTCAGCAATCCCACACCTAACCGGGTGATGAAGGAACTGCTGGCTGATCCACATCTCTATATAGTTTTAAGCAAATTGCTTTTTCAATTATTTTACACAGAGACTCTTGCAGCAAATCGAACAGGTGCTGAGGCTTGACCCTTCAGGTGTAGTAGGTTTCCTAGATGCTTGGATCTACATTCCTTCAAGCTGCTGAAGGTTGATGGGCTCTTATTAAAAGACGGCAAGACAATATCAAACCAAACTAAAAAGCCCTGCACAAATTGAGGTTAAACAGTTTAATTAAGCATATTGTCATGATCGAACAGGTCTGTCTCCCTGCCTCTTTTTCTTGTTGCCAGTCAGGCAAATTAGCATCTGTGTAGTGCAAAGAGTCTTTGTTATTGGTTTGTTTCAATTTTATTTCTTTTTATCTCTACCCCAACTATTCCCTCTGAGCAGAGTTAGGATGGAAAGGGCCCAGGAACATTAGGTTGGGAATCTTGCTCATTTCCAGGACCATCAGGGATTGGATTGTCCACAGATGATGTGAATGAGACTCAGCAAGTTCTTGGGCTATTCAAATATTTTGCTGAAAGATACTATCTTGTCACAGGCACATAATTCAGTGTGAATTTTTTTTTTTGGTTTCATATTATGCTTTATTGCTTTCACATTTTAACATTCTGTAAGTGATAGGAGTTGCATAACTCATTAAAACCTCTCTGAAAGGATCTACCCATGCTGCTACAAATAGTCTCATTAGTTGCTCCTAATGTCTTCATCATCCATGATGTACTCGCAGCTCACTCTGTTCCTCTGTTGTCCTACTGATGGACACACCTTGCTTCAATGCTCCTGCTTCCAATCACAGCCTTGACTACATTGCACTTACCTGGGGAAACAAATACAGTTACCAGTTAATTGTTTTTCTCTTAAACGTGTCTCCTCTATGTTTACAGAAAACTGAATTCATGCAATTTATTTTAGTCTGTTTTAATTCATTTTTTCCTTTAAATAATCATTATATGTTTTGGGTAATGCTGCATAATAGAAAGGCTACTTATAGATTCATCATGATCTTTGCTTATAATCAGTCTGTTTTCTCTTCTTGTTTAACTTTACCCTTATCATAGTTTGCTGGTGGGCTCACCAGATGACCTGCGTGCTTGACCCAGTTTGCATTTTTGTCATGGTAACAGTACAATGCATATGATAATTCAGATGTGAATGAATCCAATCCAATCCTATAACAAACAGGGGCAAATCTGTAAAAAGTTGTAAGTACATATTAAAAAAAAAAATTATGAGGGGGCTGTTGTGATGGTTCATTTGGCTAATCCTCTGCCCACAAGTGCGAGATCCCATGTGGGTGCTTATTTGTGTCTTGGCTGCTCCACTTCCCTCCAGCTCCCTTATGATGGTCTGGGAAAGTACCAAAGAGAGCCCGAAGCCTTTAGACTCTGCACCTGTGTGGGAGACCTGGCGGATGCTCCTGGCTCCTAGCTTTGGATCAGCTCAGCTTCAGCTGTTGTGGCCATTTGGGGAGTAAGCCAATGCATGTAAGATTTTCCTCTCTCTCTCTCTCTTTTGATCTGTAAATCTGCCTTTTCCAGTAAAACTTAAAAAAAATCTATATGTAATAGAAGCAGAATTGGCTAGAAAGCATGATCTTCTTATAATTTTCTTTGATTTGAAGAAGCCATTTTTTAGCTCTGCATGGGTGATTAACCCTGTGGTTCAATGTTTCTTCAGTCGTTAGAGTACTGAACTAACCTTACCTGAAAATAACAAAATGCCATTCTATTCATTCAAATGCAGTTCTTCAGAGTGCTGTTTGAGAGAGATCCTTGAAACACCTGAAGTTATCTTCTAGCGCTGGGTTACAGCCAGATTCATGTGCTACACCCCTCAGCAGCTGACTTCAGCTGGTGTTAGGGTTCCACGGCTGGCTAAGGCCACCACAGACAGACTGTGCAGTGCCACGTGGAGGGGCCCCATCTGAGGGCAAAGACCCCCATAACCGCCACAACTGGAAAGTGATGAGCTGACTCACTAGGTCATCTGTTTGAATGACTCTTGAAACAATACCAAGAGACATTGAGTAGTGGGCAACAGAGAAGCAGCTGATGGAGAAAGGAGTAGTATTAAAGGGAGTTATAGGCTGGTTTATTTTCTGGGATTACCTTAAAAGGCATTCCAGTTACTTTTAGTTTTTACGGTTTATTATTTGAAAGGCAGAGGTGCAGAGACAGAAGGGTGCAAACATACATGCACATGGGGCAGAGGGAGGTGGGAGAGAGAGGGGGAGGGGGAGGGGATAGGAGAGGGAGAAGAGGGGAGGAGAGAGAGGAAGGAGGGAAGGGAAGAGAAGGGAAGGGAAGGGAAATGAAAGGAAGGGAAGCAAAGGGAAAGGAAGGGAAATGAAGGGAAGGGGCAGGAAGAGAAGGGAAGGGAAGAGAGAGGAAATGAAGGGAAATACAGAGATAGAGGTTGATCCTCTGCTGGGTTCACTCCCCATGTGGTCACAACAGCAGGGCTGGACTGGGCTCAATCAGGAATTTAATCCAAGCCCTGACCTGGGTGGGGGGGAGACCCAAGTACTTAGGCCAATTGCTATTGCTTTCCCCGGTGTGTTAGCAGGGAGCTTGGTTGAAAGTGGAGCTTGCCAAGTTCAAACTATATGGATGCCAGCTTTGTAGGAGGCAGCTTAACACACTATGCCACAAGACCAGTTCCTCCAGTTTTTTTTCAAGTCTATTAGTATATTGAGACAACATTTTGTGCATGATTCTTTTCCTAGAATATCTTTTAAAACAAAACCAAAAGCAAACACAATGTGAAACAGATACATATATGAACCAAATGCATGAACCCAAGCTGAAAGTGGTTATAAGAACAAATCAGACTTTAATTTTAGTAATTTATATTGTACGTATGAGTAAGTAAAGAGGTTATTCCACCAATGAAAATATATTGGAGCTCTTTGTGGCTATAAAGGGAATGACATTTTAAGCTCTAAATGTGTTCATACATTCAAAAAAGAAGGAATGATTTATAGCTGATTTTGCTAAGACCAAAGCTACAGAACTCTGCACTATGGACACTCTAATATGTTAATGGAATATAAAGACATTTCCCAAGGTTAAAAGGCTCAAAATTGGTGAGAGTGTGTGTCACACACCATTTGGGGAGTGAACTAGCAGATGGAAGATCTCTCTCTGTAGCTCTGTAACTTTGCCTTTCAAATAAATGAATATATATTTATATATTCAATCCACTATGTTGAAAGGGAGCAACATAGGATACCAGTCATTTGCCATGTTCACTGTTAGTCTACATTTGGTAATTCTCTAGTGCAATAGTGTCCTTTGCAATGTGTTTTTAGTTATATCACTGCTCTCTGAACCTCTGAGGTAATGCATGCTTATTCCTCCATCTGAGTCATTGTAAAAAAAAAAATCTCATTTTGAAAGACTGAAGGAATGAAATGCTGTCTGAGATAATTCCCTCAGCCCTCTTGGCCCATCCTTGTCCTGTCCACTGCTTCCTTCAGCACTCTTGGCCCATCCTCGTCTTGTCCGTTGTTTCCCACTGGGTCTACCTGTTGGACCTATGCAGCAAACATCACTCTCTACATCACACAGATGACAGTGTTGGGATTTCATGCTTATTTGTCTATATACTCATATTAGCCAATAAGCAACATGAGGAAGATTTGAGAACTCCCCTCTGGAATGTAGACTAATTCCCTTAATATGAGCTCTCACTGTGCCTATAGTTTTTCTTTGTAGTGCTGACTGGTAATGAGTTACTCAATGTTTGTCTTGTCTTCAACTGTTGGCTCCATAAGGGTCTATTTTATTTATTGCTATAATTTCAGCACCACAACATGGGGTACACGCTCTGTGCATGTTTATGGGATGATTAACAGGCAGGACTTGAATATGTCTTGTTCTTCCTAATGTTGGTGCCTTTAAAATAGTGCCTGTTCTATTATAGATGCTCAGTGAATATTATTTGTATAAAAGCAAGTATGTATAGTTCCTCATTCAGGTTCTTGAAGATAAATGCTGCTTTTTTTTTTCTTGCACAAATTTGTTGTATTATAGGCATCGCATGTACAATTCTATGCAGTTCAGAAAAAAAAAACACATCCTGGCATCAGAAACACACAAATTCCAATATTCAAAATTCGAAAATTTACAATAATAAACACCAAAACTTATGTTTGGACTATGTAGTTAGGACTGCGCTACCTTGCATCCTTTATCCAGAGTCCAGAAAAATTGGAGGCAAACCTAAAAATGTAACAGAAGCACTTCTGCACACTGCCACCCATAATTGAGTCTGTGTGGAAATGTTTCCACTAGATTCATAGAGTACTCTTTGCAAGGAAGAGGCAACGACTGCTCATTTGGTTGCCTTGTGGACCTTTTCCAGCTCTTCAATGGGCTTCCACTTTTGGTTGATTGTTACAAGCTTTTGAGATACAGTTGGATCCACAGCCTCCAAGGGTTCTGGATTTCTTTTCCGATCAATGATCACATTGATTTTCTGCAAGGAATACACAGCAAAGGATGAGGCTCTGACTGCCGCAAAGCTTATAAAGGCTACTAAAGGAATGAGTTCCTTTTTCTTCATAAGGAGTTGGAAAAGACTCATGATGACTTCAGCATAGGACGTGCAATCTAGAATTTAAAAATTTTTTTATTATTTTATGATACAGTTCCATAGATTGTGGGATTTTCCTTATCCCTTCCCCAAAGCCCTCCCCCCTTATTGAGTTCCCCTTTATCATTACTATAGTATAGTTTTTCATACACAGTCATATGTCCATTATTACAGGCATGGACAATGGCAGAGTCCAGCATTCTAGTGTCAAGATATAGTTAACAGTTTCATTGGGAGTACATCTTTAGTCTGGAAGTAGAAATGCATATTACATTGTGTCCTCACATCTGGATATGATAGTCTTCATTACACAGTTACTATACATCCCTTTAAACGAAAAGCCACAATACAAAATGAACAACAGGAAAAAAAAATAGAAACATACAATGCCAGGAAGTTAAATAACATGCTCCTAGATATGATAGTCTCCATTACACAGTTACTATACATCCCCATAAATGAAAAGCTTCAGGGCCCGGTGCGGTGGCCTGGTGGCTAAAATCCTTGCCTTGAATGTGCTGGGATCCCATATGGGTGCCAGTTCTAATCCGGGCAGCTCCACTTCCCATCCAGCTCCCTGCTTGTGGCCTGGGAAAGCAGTGGAGGATGGCCCAAAGCCTTGGAACCCTGCTACCCATGTGGGGAACCTGGAAGTTCTTGGCTTCTTGGCTTTGGGTTGGTGCAACACCAGCTGTTGTAGTCACTTGGGGAGTGAATCATCAGGCGAAAGATCTTCCTCTCTGTCTCTCCTCCTCTCTGTATATCTGACTTTGTAATAAAAATAAGTAAGTCTTTTTTTAAAAAAATGAAAAGCTGCATAACAAAATAAACAACAGGAAGAAAAAAAATTAACAACACCATATGTTGTTTTAAATAATCTTAAAGATGCAGGAAGAGACACTGAGGTGATAAAGATCTACTTGCTCAAAATGTGAACAAGATGAAGTCAGAAACTTGAATTCTGACTCCAACGTCTATTTGTCCTCAGCACCATGTCCGGAGCAACTGAGCAAGCTGATTTGACAAGAGTGATGCAGTTCCAAAATTGTGAAACTTGGGTGTGCATATAAGACACCTGGGCATCCTGAGAACAGGCAAGTTATGAGTCAGTGGGTTCAGAGTAGGGCCTGTGATTCTGTATCTCTAAGTTCCGGGGTGATGACCACACCTTAAGCATAGCAAAGATTTCTGGTACAGTGACCACAAAATTAAGTAGCAAATGTAATGACAAGCTACAGAATAAATATACTACCATATATACTTAACAGTACCAACAGAGACAACAAAGTAGATACAAAAAAATTTGTTAATATAAGATTGGTTATTAAGGAATTGAATACTCAATCAAGATTGGTTGTTTTCATTGATCAAATTCAATAGATGATTGTTCAGCTGTCTAATTCTACTCCTGGGAAGAGAAGGTCTATAAATTTGAGACCAGATCTTCATTTTCACATTTCATCAATATAAAGTCAAAAACAATATGGTCTTGGTCAAAATGAACTACAAACTTTATAATGGTCTGTTTTTTGTGATGGTACAGCTGCCTTGTCTTAGCACAGGTTCTTGGAAGATAGAATTCGAGACAGAGAGTTCCCTGGGGATGATTTGCTGAAGGATGGAGGCAAGATGGATACAAAGCAAAGCAAATCTGATGTTTAATGGACACAGGACTTCAGCTGGTTCTTTGGAGATACGTGGATCAGAAACAGATCTCATTTTCTCACCCTGAGGCAAGCAGATGGGGCCATTTCACTCTTCCACAGAGCAGTCCTTAGATGAGGACTGCTACCTCCAGTGGTGGTGTAATGTGGATGGGGCCACTAGGGATCAAAAGGGGATTCAGAGACGACCTAAGCATTGAGTGGTCCCTCACAAGAGGCTGGTACAAGAGTAGCCTCAGCCCTGGAGGGATGATCTGGGGTGGAGTGGGGGCTGGGGTAGCATCTTTGCTGTATCTTCTTTCTGTAAAGTAAGCAACTGTAAAAGATACCCTCAAGATTATCTCTGAGTTTTGTAAATACTGGCTCTGCAGAAATCTCCAGAGAATTGGGCTTTTGGGTGCAGAGTTGAAGGGGATTAGGAAAAAATAGGGACAGCAAGAGTGAGTTTGAAAGACAGCAGTATTCTATGGGCTGTTTCACACTGATAATCATATGGAGAGCTCTCTGAAATCATTAGTAATGCAAAAATTGCATCTAATCCACAACATGGCTATTGGATCAATCCACATATCTACTCTTTATATTATTCTTGCCTTATCCTGTCTCAGTGTCTCCATTATGAAATGCTGGGTTTCAAACAGATCATCTATAAAATCCCAGACAGTTTTAATAAAATTCTGATTTTATAACTCTTTCTCCTCCTAAATCCCTGCCCTTATCAACTGGCTCAGGGAATAGAAACTTGGCCTAATCGCAATATGTTCTCTACTTAGAAACATCTAGTCCAAAAACCAAAAAATACCTTAAATGGAAAAGGAAGAAGTTGAATTAACGTAGGTCTTTCCACATTACAAAATATCTTAAGTGAAAGCTAAGTAACATGATATGTTTTCAGCGTATTAAAAATTTAGAATACAGAGAAAAAAAATATAAGATTTCAACATCTTATTCTATTTCCATTTTCTTCTCTTATATATAACTATAAACACAGTTATGTAATTTTGTCCCGCTCCTTTCACTTAGCATTGAACATCCAACAATGTTGAATTCTTGTTAAAATATATCTTGACAATAGGGTGCTAGGCTCCCTGCTATTGTGCATATCTACAATGTCAGGATATACTTAAATAGCAGAATGATGGGCTTATTACTGTTTATGAAGGACTATCCTATTGTAACAATATAGGGGAAATCAGTGGGGGAGCTTAGGAAAGAGAAAGGGACATCCTGGAGCCTATGGGGCTGGATCATAAAATAATAAAATAAATTTTAAGAATTACTAAATTTAAATATCTTTGCACCATGTCACACAGCAAGTAAATTAAAATTTGCTTCTAAATTTGGAAGAGTTCTTTCTTTCTCTCTCTTTCTCTTCCTTTTTTTTTTTTTAACAGAAGTGGAACCCCTGGGAATTAAACTGGCGCCCAGGTGGGATGGAAACCTACAGGTAATGGTTTTATCTGCTGTGCCATGACACCTGCTCCAGATTCCTCTTATTGCTTAAAAAAATTCTTTGTCTTATCAGATATAGCCTTGACATATGTCATTCTCTACAATTTTTATCATGTCATTGGAAAGAATTCCAGGAAAAGGAAATGAAGTTTAAGATCAAGGGAAGACAATTGAGATGATTAGAAAACCAAAACTTGGAAAGATAATGTCATATCAATGGCCTTTCCTTCCCTGCCCCCCAATATTTACTTTGTTTTATTTGTTTTAATCGGAAAGGTAGATATGCAGAGAAAAGGAGATACAGAGAGGAAGATCTTATACTGTTGATTCACTCTCCAAGTGGCCACAATGGCCTGAGCTGAGTGGTCTGATGCCAGGAGCCACGAGCCTCTGGGTCCCAAAGCTTTGGACCATCCTTGACTACTTTCCAAGGCCCCAAGCAGAGAGTTGAAAGGAAATTAGAGTAACCAGGATTAGAACTAGCACCCATATGGGATTCTAGTAGATGCAAGGCAAGGATTTTAGCCACGAGGCTATCACGGCAGGGCTTTTTAGCTCATCTGATCAAGGATGACATTTATTAATCAGAAGATGGCAGCCTGATTATTTTGGAAGGTCCAAGATTGGCAGTAAACACTATAAAATATTAATTGAGAAACAAAGAAAGAAGGAGAGGTGGAAGAAATTGCAAAGGAGCAAAAATTAAGTCATATTTTTATTATTCTTATAAAGTGACCTGCTTTTATCATTTAACTAGATAGCACCTCATGTAAAGGGAACATACTCAAACAATATTTTCATTTTATTATTATAAACAACTTTATGTGATGAATGGAGTGGGTATGGGCATTATGGAAATTACTCTGCATGCATCCCAGCAGACTGCTTCTCAGATATGTGGTTTGGATCTGGAGCATTAAATTTTCCTTCACTGGAGACAGAGGAGAATGAATATTATTTCTCATTTGGGAACACAATTTTTGTAGCCACCCTTGTTGTTTAATGGGTTAATCCATCATTCGTCATGCTGGCATCTCATGTGGCACTGATTGGAGACTCCTGGCTCCAACTGGAGCTCCTTGATAATTCATCTGGAAAAGCAGTGGAAGATGGGTCAAGAGCTTGGGCCTGTGATACCCATGTGGAAGATCAGAATGGAGTTCTAGGATCTTGGATTTGACGTGGCTCAGCCACTGGCTGTTGCGATCGTTTTGGGGTTGAAACAGTAGATGTCACGTCTCTCTTGGTGTCTCATTTGTAATTCTTTCATCCAAATAGATAAAGAATTTTTTAAAGGAACAGAATTTTGGAAAAATGACTAACTTTTCAAAACAAACCATCCCACTGCTAAAAAAATGAATAAAGGAAAGGGATAAATTTTTAGATTTCATGTTATATTTTCCTTTCATCAAAGCTCCCACATATTCTACATTTTCTTTCTTTTCAGATGATCTATATTTGTATTTCTCAGTTTCTTTTTCCTCTTCTATTTCTGTTTGCCTGGGGTGACCAACAATTCCAGTTAACCTTTGAAAAATAGCCTGGGAAAATTTCCAAGATGCCTAGCCATAGATAATTTCATAGATTCTCCCTTCCTAACTGGTATAAATAACAGAATAAATCCAGGCCCACTGGGTAATGTCTAATTGCTTTTTGGCATGGTTCAAGCAAGGAACACATCAGCACTCATAGCTGGATTTGGAGTCGATATTCATGGATGAACTATTTCTTCTCTATAAATATTCTCAATGCAGGTCAATACAAGTCAGTTCAGAGTAGTAAAATCAGTATAAGAAAAAATAATAAATAAGTGGTACTCAATTATTGCTGCTCGTGATCATCCAACTGTGCACTTTGTCCGACTGATGCTCTTGG